AAAAGGGGAGAACCCGAAAAACATAACAAAAGTCCTAGGGCAATCAAAGTTTTTTGGCCTCCGGAGACCTTCTCAGGGGGCCCTCTTGAGGGCCTCTGGGGCCGTCTCGGGACTCTCTTGGACCGTCTAGCGGCCATCTGAAGCTTTGTTGGGGCCGTCTTGGGGCCCTCTTGGGCCGTCTTGGGGCCCGTGGGCCGCTTCACCCAAAAAAATTTGAAGAAACGGGTCATGGGAACCGCCCGGGAGCCGCTTCACTAGAAAAATACACGAGAAAAGGGCGATTTGACCAAAACGTCCGGTCCACACTCCCCCCCTGGACCCCCCCTAAGAAGGGCTTCGCCCCCTGCTCAACGTCACTCGCTCGTACCTCGCTCTTTCCGTCACCTGAGCCGGCAGGGGAAAGTAAAGAGCATTTCAGGAATTTGTTCGGGCTGGCTCATGGCACCCTTCGCTCCTGGCAGCCTTGGTGTTAAGGGCGTGCTACGTCACCGCCATCTGTTCAGATACCTTTACGTTGCCGCTCGCTCTTGGGAGCCTTCCTATTAAGAGCTTCTTACGCCACCGCGCTCTGGGGAGCCTTTGTGTGTTCAAGGCTTGTTACGTCACCTCCCGCAGTTGGGAACCATGGTGTTGCTTGGCGTCTCTGTGGCGTCGTGGGAGCCTTAGGGGGGGGCCCTTGAGGAGCCCGTCTGGGCCGTCTTGGGGCCCGTGTTGGAGGCCTTTGGCCGCCTTGGGGCTCTCTTGGGGGCCTCTGGGGGCTCTCTTGGGAGCCCTTTTGGACCCTTTCGGGGCTCTCTTGGGGCCGTCTTGGAGCCCTCTTGGGCCATTTTGGCGCCCTCTTGGGCCGTCTTGGAACCCTCGTGGACCGTTATCAGAGCCCGTTTAGGGTCAACACAGTTTTCACCCAAGCAGCGCAGTCTCTACACCCCTTTTGAGCCGTCTTGGAGCGTCTTGGAGGGCTGTGGCCGTCTTGGAGCTTTCCATGGGGCCTCTTGGGGCTCTAGTAGGACCCTCATCGGGCCCACTTGGAGCTCTCTTGCGGGCCTCTAGGCGCCCTCTTGGGCCGTCTTGGGGCCCTCTGGGCCCGTCCCGGGGGCCTCTTGTGAGGCCTTGGGGCCCTCTTGGGTACCTCTTGGGCCATCTTGGGGCGATCTTCGGGGCCTCGTGGGCCGTCCTGGTCCGTCGGAAGCCCGAAAAGGCGAGACCCCCAACTCGCAAAAAAAACATGGGACAGCACTGTTGGGCTCTCTTGGGACCCTCTTGGGCCGTCCTGGGGCCCTTTTGGGTAGTCTTGGGGCGTCTTGGAGGTCTTCGGCCGTCTTGGAGCTTTCCTTCCAGCCTCTCGGGGCCCTACTGGGGGGCCCTCTTCGGGCGCCTTGGGGCCCCCTGGAGGGTCTGTCGTGCTCTCGTGGAAGACCGTGGGGGCATCTTGCGCCGTCCTGGGCCGTCGGAAGCTCTAAAAGGCGAGAGTTCCCAAAAAACATACGAAAACCTTATGGACATCAATGTTGTTGGCCTCCTCAGGGTCCTTTGGGGCCCTCTTGGGCGGTCTTGGGGCCCTTTTTGGCCAGTTGGGGGCCCTTTTGGACCGTTTTGGGGCGTCTTGGTGGCCTTTGGCCGTCTTGGGGCTCTCTTGGGGGCCCTCTTGAGAGCCTCTTGGGGCCATCTTCGGGCTCTCTTGGGGCCGTCTTCGGGCCCTCTTGGGCCGTTTTGGGGCCCTCTTGGCTCGTCTTGGGGCCCTCTTGGGCCGCCTTGTTGCGCTCTTGGGGCGTCTGGGGCCGTCTTGGGACGATCCTTGGGGCCTCTTAGGCCGTTCTTGGCCCGAAAAAGCGAGAATCGAACAACCATACATAGAAACATTTGGGGTAAATCAATGTATGTGGCCTGATCAGGCCCTCTTGGGGGTCCTCTTGGGGGCCTCTTGGACCTTCTTGGGGCCCTCCTGGGCCGTCGTGAGTCCATCTGATCTCGGAACGCCATTGGGCGGTCCTGGGCTTTCGTGGGGCGCGCTGGGCCGTCTTGGAGCCCTCTTGGACTCCTCTTGGGCTGTCTTTGGGGCCTCTTGAGCGTGTCTTGAGCAGTCTGGGGCGGCACTCGGGGCGTTTTACCCCCCTGGAGGGCGATAACACGTTGCGCCGGGCATTCCCCCCCCCCCCCCCTGGACCCCCTCCCCTTGGGCTGACGCCCTACCAAGGAAGGAACCGCCTGAACGCTCTTTCCGTCACATGCTTAGCACGGGGACGGGAAGCGGGCACGGGATCGCTTGGGCAGTGTCTTGGAGCCCTCTTAGTGTTGAGACTGTGGTACGTTGCACAAACAACGAGTAACCAACCTTCGAACATCAATTCAGATGACCTCTCCGGGCCTTATTAAGGGGGTCCTTTGGGGGCTCCTTCGGGCCGTCTTGGGACCCTCGTGGGTCGTCCTGGCACCCTCTTGGGCTGTCTGGGGGGGGGGCTTTGGCCGTCTTGTGTGGGCCCTCTTGGGGACTTCCTGAAGCCCTCTTGGGACTCTCTGGGGAACCTTTTGGGACCCTCGTGGCCTCTCTTGGGCCGTCTTCGAGCCTTCTTGGGCAGTCTTCGGGCCGTCTTCGGGTCTTGGGGACCTCTTGTGCCGTCTTGGGGCGATCCTGGGGGCTTCGTCGTGGACCTGGGGGCCCCAAGGCCATACCCCTGGGACTCCCCGTACTATTTCTACCGACTGCGGATCGCGACGCCGACAGGTTTCATGGCCCTCCCTTGCTCTCTGGATGTAGTCGAGAAGCTGTGGCAAAGGAGCAGTTCGGGTTCGGAAGGGGGTCGTCGTTTCCCGGGCTTTGCCATGGTTGTCCCCCCAGCTCTCCTCGTGCACACTCTTGCCTTGTGGGACCAAAGAGGGTCTTCGCCCCTTCGTTTGCGAATTCGAGGGTGGCACGATGACTGCACGCCCCTTCCCTGAGGGCTGAGCGACTTTATTCTTCTCGACGTGCGGGGAATAGGCCAGGTAAATTCAAACAGATCGATGCAGATCCAAACATATCTACGTACCTCCAGTGATCTCCACAAAGATCTGGAGCAGATCGTGGACGCTCCAGCGCGAGTCGAGGGACAGCAGCAGTCGCCATGTCAGCCCTTCACGGCAGCTGCCCCCCCCCCCCCGCCCCTCTTCCGCGCACATGCCTCGGGCCATGATCTGCGAGCCCCCCTCTTGGACCCCCCCCCTCTCTGTCACAGACCTCCCGCTCGCGCGGGCGCGAGCGGCCCCTGCGGGCCCAGCTCTCCACATGGTAGCGTGCGGCGCAGAAGAGACCGCTGGCTGCGCCCAGGCAAGGCCAGGAGGACACCGTGCGGGAGCTGTGGCGACGGGGGGGGCCTGGTGTGGACTGGGATCGGCGGAACGTTTCCTGGCTATTTCGCTGGTTCCCGGAGGTTTTCTGGCCTACTAGCCTCGGGGTGCTCTCCAGCATCTGTGCCTCGCCGACAGCGTCCCGGGGGTGCCCGTATCGTCCCGAACGGCCGCAGGAGATTCGAGGTATGACCAGAAAGCCAAGTCCGGCGACGAGCCGAGGAGGGGGGAACCGAGGGGACAGGACTTCTCCAAGACCCTCTGGCCTTCTGAGAAGCGCGCTGTGGCTTCGGAGAAGATGACGAAAGCTTCTCAGAAGACCAGAGGCCTTCTGAGCCCTGCGGAAATCGGGAGGACGGCAATGATGGGGCAACAAACGCGGGGGGATCGAGGATTGCAAAGGACATGGCCCCGAAGGGGCTGCACAAAGCCCCAAAACTGCCATCGCGGGCCCCAAATGAGTACGAAGGGTGCACCTGTTTTGCCACCTCGCATTCTTCGCCCCCCGAGAGCCCCCCGCAGCGAACATCCGAGAGAGAGAAGGCCCGCTCCCCGGTGCCTCCCCCCCCGGGGCGCGCCGCCGAGTCGGAGCGTCGTCACCCCTGGCTGGCGAGAAGGAAACGGAATGATTGTGAGCTTGCAGAGGTGCGCGCGGATCTCCGAAAGCCTGTGTCTATGCAGGCTTCGTTGGTTGGCTTGGTAGGTGCGTCGCCTCTGTGTGTGTGTTGTGTGTGTGTGTTGTGTGTGTGTTGTGTGTGTTGTGTGTGTTGTGTGTGTTGTGTGTGTTGTGTGTGTTGTGTGTGTTGTGTGTGTGTTGTGTGTGTTGTGTGTGTTGTGTGTGTTGTGTGTGTTGTGTGTGTTGTGAATTGTGTGTGTTGTGTGTGTGTGGTGTGTGTGTTGTGTGTTGTGTGTGTTGGTTGTGTTGTGTGTGTTGTGTTGTGTTGTGTTGCGTTGTGTTGTGTTGTGTTGTGTTGTGTTGTGTTGTGTTGTGTTGTGTTGTGTTGTGTTGTGTTGTGTTGTGTGTGATGTGTGGTGTGTGGGGGGGGGGGGGGGGGACAGGCCAGGATCTAGGGCTGCACCTGCTATGATCTCTCCCTGCGGGACGGGGCATTGGCGGCTCTGCGGTACTTCTGTGGTTCCCTCTACGCAGCGTCGCGGAGCGGCAGCTCGGCATGGCACGAGGAAGCTCTCGAGCAGAGTCGAACAGACATCTCCCCGCACACGCGTTGGCGAGCCGACACCTGGTGCACCCAGAGGGAGGTTGCCCGAACAGAGTCGTGACTACGATGTGAGGACGTCGGCGTTTGCTCCAAATGGCCCAATTTTCCCAGCGCTGTCGTCGACCTTCTCTCCTTGGGGGCTGTGCGTGCACGGGGTCCTAACTTGGGCCGAAGAAGAAGAAGAAGAAGAAGAGCGTGCAGAACTATGAGCTTCCCGAAGTCCGCGTGGATCTCTTGGACCTGCGCTGGACCGCCTCCGGCGCCGCCCCCGGCGCGCCCCCTTCCGCCAGGGAGGTGGGCCGGGCGCCGATCCAAGAAGTCCGCGCGAACCTCCGAAAGTCTATGCCCGTGCAGGGCGTTGCTCCTCCCTGGGGGTCCCACTGTCTTCGCTGGTCGATCGACGTCCCTTTCTGTTCGCACCTGTCGCCTAGCCGAACCCCCGCGGCCCGCGCGGCGCCGACTCGCCCCTCTGGCTCGGCAGGGTCCCCGACCCCGCGCGCAGCGCCCCGTCTCCGCCCCCCGCCCGGCTTCGTCCGAGGCCGTCATTGGACCTCGCGGGGCGCTGGCTTCTGTCGCTCGGCCCCGCCCCCCTGGCCGTTCGCCCGGCACGTGCCGCCAGGCTGCTGACACACGTGGCACGGGGCGCTCGAGAAAGGGCGTCGCTTGCGAGGGGTCGAGAGGTTGCCCAATCCCCTTCGGCGGCAGGCGGCGGCAGCCCGCGGAGGTAGAGCGAGGGCGCCTCCCCCGGCGGAAGCGGGCGGAAAGCCCGCGCCAGTTGGATTTCAAAGTTGCGCCTCCCAGGGATGCCTAAGCCCGGAGGAGGAGGAGGAGGAGGAGGATGAGGAGGAGGAGGAGGAGGAGGAGGAGGATGAGGAGGAGGAGGAGGAGGAGGAGGGGGAGGGGGGGGAGGGGGAGGAGGGGGAGGCGGAGGCGGAGGCGGAGGAGGAGGAGGAGGAGGAGGAGGAGGAGCAGGAGCAGGAGGAGGAGGAGGAGGGTCAGGGTTTTCAAAACCCGTCGCAGAAGATACGGAGCCGAAGCGCCCAGAAACAGCTTAAGAAACAGCCCGGAGGGCTGGAGAAACACTATAGCGCTTGAGAGACAGCCGTGGAAGGAACCGAGGAACAGCGACTTATTGCGAAGGCCTTACGGCCAGTGCCGCCGACCCTGAAGGGGGACGACGACGACGACGGCGGCGGCGGCGGCGACGACGACGACGGCGACGCTGACGACGCTGACGTTGGTCAGAGCCTTATGGATGATTCGTGGGGGTTCTTCAGAGCGCTCTCGGCGGTCTCTGGGGGGCAGTCTGGCAGCATTTTGGGAGGCACTTGGGGGCCTCTCGGCAGCCTCTTGAGGGCCTCTGAGGGCTCGGCCTCTTGGGGCCTCCTGCGAGCCTCTCGGGGCCGAGGCCTCGAAGTGTACGTTCGAGTCCCCCGTCTGGACCCCCTCTTGGAGCCGTCTTGGGGGCCTCGTGGACCGTCTCGGAGGCCTCCTGGGCCGTCTTAGGGCCCTCTTGGGTCATTTCTGGGCCCTCATAGAGGCATCTTGGAGCGGTCTTGGGGGCCTCTTGGGACGTCTTGGAGGGTTGGGAAGTTGAGAAGGCGAGAGCGCCAAGAACTGCCAAACACAAAAAAAAACAATTAAGTTTGCCTTTGGGGTCCCTCTCGGGAGTGCTCTTGAAGCCCTTCTGGGGCGTCTTGGAGGCCTCTCGGGCTGTCTGGACGCGACTTCTGTGTGCGTCTTGTCTGCATACACGTCCTCCATGCTTGCCCTGCTCGGGGTCCTCATCTTGTTTCCGCTGAAGTGTCCCCGATCCAAGCTCCTTCTGTGGGAGCCAGGGAGGAGGGCCTCTGGGAGGGCGCCTCCCTTCTGAGAAGCCCCCCCGTCTTCTTGGAATGGCGACTTCCCGTTGGCGCGACGTCAAAGTCGACCGAGAACGAGGAGGAGGAGGAGGAGGAGGAGGAGGAGGAGGAGGAGGAGGAGGAGGAGGAGGGAGGAGGAGGAGGAGGGAGGAGGAGGAGGAGGAGGAGGAGGAGGAGGAGGAGGAGGAGGAGGAGGAGGAGGAGGAGGAGGAGGAGGAGGTCCGGCGGCTGTTCGGAACCATCCGGGCACCCCTCGACGCTCTAGGCGAGGCGCATCTGCCGGAGAGCATCCCCGGGCGGGAAAGCCTTCTCAAGAGCCGACCCAAACGCCCGAAAACATCGCACGACGCCACCGACGATGCCTTCTTGGGGAACAAAAAATATAATAGTGGCACAAACATGCTTGCCCAGGGACGTAATTACCCAAAGCCATTTCTAAACACGTGGCGACTAAACCCAGGACTTCTCCATACAAGCCCACCAGTTGGACGAGCCGCAGTGCGCAGGAGCACCCAGAACTCGGCCACAGGATGGCCTCAAGATGGCCCAGGACGGCCCGCAAGGGGCCTCCAAGAGCCCTCCAGGAACTACATTTGCGCAGTTCGCAGCGCAGTTCGCAGCACCCCAGGAAGCCGAGATGTCTCGACTGGATCTCTCCCACTCCGGAGCCCGCGAAAGTGGCGACGGTTGCGCAGTTCGCAGCCGCCCAGGGAGCTGCGAGTTCTCGGCTGGATCCGCGAGTAACTCCACTCCGCTGGTCCGCCCAGGAGCCTACGAAAGGGGCGACAGTTTTGCAGTTCGCAGCCCCCCAGGGGGCCGCGAGGTCTAGCAGCAGGAGGAAGGGGAGGGAGGAAGGAAGAGGACGGAGACCACAGCGCTCGATTCAAAACGAGAAGCCATCACAGGAGGGTTGCTAAAAACTCGGAGGTCTGCATGGATTTCTCCGATCGGCGCTGGACCCCCCTCCCTGGGGCGCGGAGCTCGCCAGGGGCGGCGCCGGAGCCAGAGGGCCCCAGCGCCAATCCGAGGAATCCGCGCGGACCTCCGAGTTTTTATGTGTTTGTCACTGCTTGTTCTCCTACCTTCGTCTTGCCACTGCCAGTGCAGTCGGACCAAGGTAGAAGATCGAGGTCGGCTCGGGGAGGAACCCCCCTACTGTTCTTCGTGCTTGTTGAATGTTCTTGTGCATCCTGGGGGGGGGCTACCCTCGAACGCTCTTCAGCTTGGCCGGCGGAGGGTCTCAGGTTCTTTCGGGCATGGCCAGGACCCCGGGTATAAGGGGGCCCGGTTAGTGGTAGGGCCCCGGAGCCTTTGAATTGGCCAGAATCACTAAGCCAGGCTTGCCGTAACTGGTGTTTGTCGGGTGACGGCAGCTCCGGTCAGTGGGAATGGGGCGGGGGGGCGCCCCCGGCACAAATCCCGAAACCAGGTTCCACGAGACCCAGTTCTGCCGACGCCCGATTCTTGCAGGACGCTCTTCCGGCCCAGGCTCGGCTGCAGCTCCCCTCCAGCGCCGGCCGCCAAACCACCCCAACCCAACCCGAAGGCTCAGATTTACCCTCGATTTCTAGTGGGGGGGGTCCTGGAACATCGAAAAAACACATATGCAACCCATACCCCCCCCAACCCGAAATTCGGGTCTTCGGGTTGGCTTGGGGTGGTCTGGTAGGTAGTCACCTCCAGCGCCGCCCGCGGCCACTTCGGCCCAGCTGTTCGTATACCGGTACTGCACCGAGCTCGGCGGGCGGGCCGGCCAGGGCTGCCCTCCCTGGCGGCATGGCTGGCGCGGCAGCGCCGCGGCGGCGCAGCGGTACGGTCCTCCTCCTCCTCCTCCTCCTCCTCCTCCTCCTCCTCCTCCTCCTCCTCCTCCTCCTCCCATCCTCCTCCTCCTTCCATCCTCCCCCCCGTCCCTCCCTCCTCGCCTCCTCCTCCTGCCACCCTCCTGCTCCTTCCCTCCCTCCCTCCCTCTTCCTCCTCCTCCTCCTCCTCCTCGTGCTCCGCGGCCGTCCTCTCCTGTCCCTCGTTCTCTAATGCGGAGCTCGCTCCTGCAGCGGCTCGCCCCTCACGTGGTCTCGCGGGCGCAGACGCATGCGGGCCCACGCACATCTCTGCGCACCCCTCACGCAGATGCTGAAGTCAACCTATTCACGTTGTTCACTTCGAATTATTCGAAAGTTCTTCGATTTTTTGGGGGAAGTATTCCATCCTGGGCCTCTTCCTGGCCCCTAGGGGGCCAGGAACAATTAGAAACGAGCACAATTAGAAATGAGTACGATTAGAATTAACGACGTGTATACGGCCTCAGCGGGCGTGTTCGAATTCGGGCACACGACCACTGCGGCGCACCCATCATGCAGATCGCTTCACACACGAAGGCTCTTCTACGGCTTCAATGGGCGCGTACACATGCGGGCTCGCGACAGCGACGCTCGCCGCGCGGCTGCCAGCCCCAAGGGAAGGCAGGGCAAGATTTGGATCCTTTTCGGACGACACTCCGTTGGAGACCCCAGATTTTCACCAGTATGGAGGCAGCTGCGCCCTGCGCAGCTCCCAGGCATGGCGAGGTTTCGTGTGGGTCCCCGCCGGGCGTCGCTCCGCTGGATATCCCTCAAGCTTACGAACATGGCGACGGTTGCTCGGTTGGCAACACGGGGGGAAGGCGAGGTCTCGGTTGTGTCCCCGTAGTGCCTCAACACTGCTGGGCCTCCCAAGAGCTCGAGATGATGGCGACGCTTCCAAGGTTCGCAGCGTGCAGGAAAGGCGGGAGCTCGCTGGGTCTTTGCAAGTCGTCACTTTGCTGGGCCTCCCAGGGGTTCATGGAAATAGCAACAATATCGCAGTTGGTCCCGCCCACGGGATGCAGCGTCTTATTTGGATCCGCGCCAGACGTTCTTCCGCTGGGTTCCTTGTCCGGGCGCGATCTGTCTGATAGGTGGGGCGGAATTGGACGCGGCTTGCGCGGCACCTCCACATGGGCCGCAGGTGGAGCTCCCAGCGGGACGCGATGCATGTGAGTTACGTGCCGAAGTGGGCGTGTGCCGGCATGCGGGCCACCTCCAGTGGAGCCGCACGTGAAGCTCCGCATGGGGGCACGTAGTGTGTGAGCGGTGCTCAAAAAGTGGCGTGGGCTGACATGCGGGCCACCCCCACTGGGGGCCATGGGTGCAGCTCCGTCTAGCGGCACAAACCGTGTGAGGAATCAGCGTGGGGCGGCTTGCGAGCCCCCCCCGCTGTGGCAGTAGGTGGAGCTCTGTATACGGGTACGCACGGTGTGAGGACTCTGCCGACATGGATGCGCGGACGGACACCAGAGGCAAGGAGGAGATGGGGCAGGGGGGAGGCAGGATGAGAAGAGGGAAGGAGGTGAGACCGCGCGGCGCTGCGTATTCAAAGCGAAGACCACTCAAAGTAGGAGGACTGGGAAAAATGGATGTCCCCAGACATGCGACGTCCTGATTTTTTCAAGATGAGGTCCCTGGAAGTCCCGATCCTTTCCCCGGCACCGGTTTTTCATCCTGAATTGTTGTTTGACAATCCTGGGGCCCCGCGAGGGCCCCCTGGAGCCGAAAATAGCAAAAAACCTCCCGTCCTAATTTTTTGTACGGGTCAAAATCCTTTCATTTCTAATTGTTCTATCCTGGGCCTCTTCCTGGCCACTGGGGGGCCAGGAACAACTAGAAACGAGCACAATTAGAAATGAGCACGATTTGAAATGAACCACGTGTAAACTTCATAAACGACGACGACGCCTCCTGGCATTCGCTCTCGGGCTGCAAGCTTCTGTCAACTGAGCGCTCCTGGCCCTGTTGTCGGAGGGACTGATCTGAACGGGGACGGCCCCAGTTGCCGCCGCATCGTGTGGAGTTGGAGAGCACGGCTTCCGTCACTGTGCAAGCACATTGCAGTAACGACCACCCTGCTGACCACCCTGCTAATCACCATTTTGCTCGCCCGAACTCCGCACATGCCTGGACAACGACACGGAGAACGACGACGCCAGTGGCGGCGACGACGACGACGGCGGTGGCGGCAGTGGCGGCGGCGGCCCCGACGGCCCTCGGAGGCATCAGAAGGCGCGAATGGGCCTGACAGGCCCCAACAGCTTCGATCGTCGAGCCTCGATCACCGAGCCTCGGACCTCGGTCGTCGAGCCTCGATCGCAGTCCTATCACGGGGTCCCCTTTCGATATGCACCGATCCGATCCGATGTCCATTCCGGTCCGATCCGACTCCATGCGCCTCGAGACTGGCAGTGCGGCGACCCGATGCGGCCCGACGCCCGCACGGCGCTGCTGTGCATCCTGGCGCGTGTGGCCGAGCCGCTCTCGATCCCTGCTCCGTGCCCAGCGCAGCCCGCCGGGGCCCCTGAGGCCAGGATAAAACAGGGCTAGGATCGGGATAAATCGCTCCAGAGCGTTCCGGAGCGCTCTCAGAGCGTTCCGGAACGCTCTGGAGCGGCCGCGGCGCCCAATACATCCTCCAAACCCGCCGATTCTCAGGGATTTCGAGTTTTATCCCGATCCGATTTTGTCCCGATCTTCGCGTCGTTTTGCAGGATGCTGCAGGCCAGGGCTCGGGCATGCCCGGCTGGCGAGAGCGGGAAGGGCGGAGGAGGCAGCGGCCCACGGCTGCAGCGTATTCTCGACCCTGACCTTCCAGGAGGGCTAAAAAATAGCGCCCGACGTAAAAACTTATCCCAGAGCTATTTTACGTCTTGGTTTTAGGCTGTTTCGTCTCGTTTTTTATGTTTTTAGGTTTCCAGTGCTAAAAAATAGCTCTCTGGAAGGTCAGGGGACCGCGCCAGCGTCGGGGCTCCTCGAGGTCCCTGCCTAAAGGGGCCCTGGTGACGGGCAAGCTGCCCACCGCCGCCACCATGTGCAGGACGGGGGAGGAGCGAGGATGGTGAGGTCCTCCTCCTCCTCCTCCTACTCCTCCTCCTCCTCCTCCTCCTCCTCTTCCTCCTGCTCCTCCTCCTCTTCCTCCTGCTCCTCCTCCCTCTCCTCCTCCTCCTCCCTCCTCCTCCTCCTCCTCCCCCTCCTCCTCCTCCTCCTCCTCCTCCTCTTCCTCCTGCTCCTCCTCCCTCTCCTGCATGTGGCAGTGGTGGCGGTGGGGAATCGACCCAGCACCCGAGCCCGACTCGGGCGGCGCAGGCCGTGCACGGGAACGGTGGGCGCACGCTCTTCTTCTCCTTCGTGCCCCATCCACGCCCGCAGCGTGCGCCAACTGGTCTTGCAAATGATTCGGGAGTGGACAGACCTCCTACCCTGACACGTCGATGAGTGAATTGGCCGTTTTCGGTTCGCGAGAGGGCGTCGCGGCCGTCATTTTTGCGGGTCCAGGTCCGTCGGTTTCGGTCCCAGGCCGTTTTCACTAAGGGGAGGTTTACTAAAGGGAGGTTTGTCCATTGCCGATTGATTGGCGCTGCCCGACCGATTCGGTGCACGCTCCGAGCCAGTCCGGCGTTCCGATTCGAAGCCGACGGGTTCCTGCCGGCCGAGGCACTGGTGCCGCTCCTGGCGGCTCTCTGCGGCGCCGCGGAGTGCCTGTCGGTGGGCGGCGGCCAGGCGGGAGCCCAGCCCTTCCCGCCAAGCCGTCGTCCACGATGGTGCCGCCGTCTTCGCCGCCGCTGCTAGCCGTCGTCGGCGGCGTCATCGTTGACGGCGTTGTCCTTGCCGTCGTTGTCGTCGCCTTCGCCCCCGTCGTCGCCCGTCATCGTCGTTCTCCTTGTCGCCGTCTTCGTCGGCGTTGGCGTCGTTCTCGTTGTCGTCCTCCTCCAAGGCGTTCGCCTGCGCCTCCCTCCCTTCCCTATCCTGTTCCCACTCCTCCTGCCCCATCCTGCATTCTGCTCCTCTTCCCCCTGCTTATCAACTCCTCCCGCTGATCGGAGGCTGGGGGTGAGATCGCAGTGCAGTGGAGAGCCCCCCCACCGGGAAATAGGTCTCGGTTTCGTGTCGTGCTCGCGGGCGAGGCGAAGCTGCGTGGGCGGGTGAGAGACATGCACCCGCCCTGGCAAGCGCGACAGCCGGTTGGCCGGCGGTGGCCCGGGTTTCCCGCTGATGTTTTGTGGTGGTCCGTGGCGTCCCGTGGTGTCCCGTGGTGTCGCGTGGAGGTCGATTGTGAGACCGATGGTGAGATCGATTATGAGATCGATTGGGTGAGATCGATCGTGATATTGGTAGTGAGATCGATCGTGGGATCGATAGTGGGATATCTAGACAAATCGACAGTATATCGATCACCGTAGAGGGTCTTTAATGCTGCCGGGGACCCCCCTAACCTCCTCGCCATTCCCCTAGTAGTTGTTTGACTAGTAGTAGTAGTAGTAGTAGTAGTAGTAGTAGTAGTAGTAGTAGTAGTAGTAGTAGTAGTAGTAGTAGTAGTAGTAGTAGTAGTAGTAGTAGTAGTAGTAGTAGTAGTAGTAGTAGTAGTAGTAGTAGTAGTAGTAGTAGTAGTAGTAGTAGTAGTAGTAGTAGTAGTAGTAGTAGTAGTAGTAGTAGTAGTAGTAGTAGTAGTAGTCGTAGTAGTAGTAGTAGTAGTAGTAGTAGTAGTAGTAGTAGTAGTAGTTGTAGTTGTAGTCGTCGTAGTAGTCGTAGTCGTAGTACGACTAGTAGTAGTAGTGCTGGTCGTCGGTCGTAGTAGTGGTACTGGTAGGAGTAGATTCCATTGGTGGTGGTAGTAGTAGTAGTAGTAGTAGTAGTAGTAGTTGTTGTAGTGGTAGTAGTAGTAGTAGTAGTAGTCGTAGTAGTAGTAGTAGTAGTAGTAGTAGTAGTCGTAGTAGTAGTAGTAGTAGTAGTAGTAGTAGTAGTAGTAGTTGTAGTAGTAGTAGTAGTAGTAGTAGTAGTTGTAGTTGTAGTAGTAGTAGTAGCAGTAGCTGTTTTTGTTGTAATAGTAGGCGTGGTAGCAGTCGTCGTAGTAAGTTTAGAAGTAGTCGTAGTTGTAGTCACCGTCGTAGTAGTAATAGTAGTCGTAGTAGTAGTACTAGTAGTAGTAGTAGTAGTAGTAGCAGCAGCAGCAGCAGCAGTAGTACTACTGCTACTACTATTACGACTAAGACTACGACTGCGACTGCGACTACGACTACGACTACGTCCACGACTGCGACGACGCCTACTGCTACTACTACTACTACTACTACTACTACGGCTACTACTACTACTACCACTACTACTACTACTACTACTACTACTGATTGCTTCTACTAGTTCTACTCGTACTACTACGACTACTACTACGACGACGATGGACTACTACTACTACTACGACTACTACTACTACTACTACTACTACTACTACTTCGACTACTACTACTATTAGTACTACTACTACTACTACTACTACTACTACTACTACTACTAATACTAGTACTACTACTACGACTACTACTACTACTACTACTACTACTACTACTACTACTACTACTACTACTACTACTACTACTACGACTACTACGACTACTACGACTACTACTACTACTACTACTACTACTACTACTACTACTACTACTACTACTACTACTACTACTACTACTACTACTACTACTACTACTACTACTACTACTACTACTACTACTACTACTACTACTACTACTACTACTACTACTACTACTACTACTACTACTACTACTACTACTACTACTCGGGTAACCCGTAGACTGTGTTACCACTTCTGAATGAATGGTAAGGGGTACGGGTTCGGGTTTGGGTTCGGGTTCGGTACGGCGACCGCTAAAACAAAAACATCAAGATGCCTACTAGGCATGCGCAATAAGGATGCCTATGTAGTCCTATGCATTCCTACGGGTTGCTAGAGGTAACAAGGAATTCCTCAGGATCCCTAGGGATCCCTACGGAATCCGACGGGTTCCTAGGGAACCCTAAGGGTTGCTACCGAGTGCTAAGGATCCCTAGGGATTCCGACGGATGCCTAAGGATTCCCAAGAATTGCTAAGGAATCCTACGGGTCCCCACGGATTCCGACGGATCCCTAAGGATTCCTAAGGGTTGCTAAGGAATCCCAGGGGTTCCCACGGATTCCGAAAGATTCCTAGGGAGTCCTAAGGATTACTAGGGGTTGCTAGGGATTCCTAAGGGTTCCTACGGATTCCTGGGGTTCCTGAGGATTGCTCGGGATTCCTATGGATTCCTGCGGATTCCTAGGGAATCCTAAGGATTCCTAGGGGTTGCCAAGGTTTTCCAATGGATTCATACGGATTGCCAGGGTTTTCGCAAGGATTCCTACGGATTGCCAGGGGTTTCGTAAAGTTACCGATTCAAACGGAGGGCCTCACCAAGGCCCAGGGAGTTCCCTTGGGAGTCAACCGACCAAACAATCAACGAACCAAACGAGCGCTATTCGTGCACCAATGGAGAATATGTGATGCGCCGCCGTGCCCTGCGGCACGGAGCGTGCGCGTCCTCATGTCATCTGCCTCCTCCTCAGAGCCGTAATCCTCAATCCAAAAGGCCCCAGGAGTCCCAAAAGGCCTCCGAGAGACCCCAAGTGGGCCCCAAGAAACCCAAAGTGGCCTCGACATTGCCTCTTGGACACGCCAAAAAAGCGAACCAGGAGGAGGGTGGTGGTGAGAGTGGCGCATCCTCGGCGCCACTCTCACCACCACCTCCTCCTCCTCCTCCTCATCACCATCATCATCATCCCCGTCACCTCGCAATCCTCAATATCATCCTGCTCCTCTCCATCATCATCATCGTCATCATCAACATCCTCATCACCATCCTCATCATCATCAGTATCAGCATCTTCATCCTGATACTCATCTTCATCATCAACATGTTCCTAATCCGCATCCTCACCCTCATTTCAATCCTTGTCTTCCCCCGCTACTCCTCCTCCTCATCCTCCTCCTCTTCTTCCTCCTCCTCCTCTTCCTCTTCGTCATCATCATTATCATCACCCACCTCCTCCTCCTCCTTGCCCCATTCACCCCCTTCTCTTCCTCATCCTCCCCCTCCCCCTCCCTCCTCCTCATCCACATCCTCATCCTCATCCTCATCTTCATTCTCCCCATCCCCACCCTCGTACTCAGCCTTCTCCTCCTGGGCCGCCTCCGTTTCGGGACTACCCGAAACCCTCGGAATCTTTCGGAAGTGTTCGGAAGCTTGCGGGAACCCTTGAAGACCCTCGATGGCCTTCCGACGCCCACGGCATCTGTAGGAACCTTTGGAGGT